GGGCTTTCAAGTCTGCAATTCCTTCTCCTGCCCTGTCAAGTTAATTACTGCAGCATGGTTTGTGTGGATTTTTATTTACAGTTTGTATGTACTTTGTTTTCGGACTGAATTTACTCCATTTAAAGACTGTTCTTGGGAGAGTTTTTTCTTCATCTGAACATAACCTGGACATTGGGGGCAAAGTTGGAGGTACTAAAGGAACACTTCTTGTTTATTTGACTGTGTTGCCTTTATGCCATGCCCCGGGTCATCACATTTTGGTTCCCAACGGCTTTCACATGCTGTTAGTGTGTAATGCCCCGTCAACTTTATGGCCCCTTGGAATCACTCAGAGAATCGGTTCAGGATGTCCCAATAGGCAGTTACTTTGCTAATTTGCTTGTCCAGGCTGGTTCTAAAAAAAATGAACTAGCGTCCACTCAGGCAAAAGAGGTATCTTCCCACTGATTCTCCTGAATTCATGGATGTGTTCCTTGATGGGTTGCCCTCCCTGCTTTAGGTTGCTGAGCTCATCTTCCGCATATGGGTCCTCCTCTGCCTCCTCAAATCTGGCTTCTAGCAGTTGTAGAAAGTTATCTACATCATGTAGTTGGGGGGCTGTTATCTTGTGGAGGATTGCTAGCCATCCTCTTGTTTCTCCCTCTGTCCCTCAGAAATGGCATTCACCATGGCTCCAGGGGAGGGGTAGAGATGTCCATAGCATTCCACGTGGATCTCAGCTGAGTCAAGAAATAAAGCTAGCTGGTCTGGGTCTCCATCAAATTTTCTCCTGAATCGGGGTGGTTTGTTGAGCTCTGCTCCTCCCTCTCCCTGTTGCCCTTTGTAAGCCTGTGTTTGAGATGTCTGACCTTCATCCTCAGCTCTAGTTTGCAGAGGAGGAGGGTGCTGCCTGCTGTGTGGGGGAGGCACTGGCTGTTGCTGTGGGCTCTTTTTTCTTCTGTTCGGTAGAGAGGCAGGTCTGTGGTCTCACCTGCTTCTCCCCCCTTCAAAGGGCTCTGTAAAAGTTTTCCTCTGTTTTGGGCAGCAGGATGGGCCGTCATCCCAAATGGTGGCCCATTCAAATTCTTCCCTCAGCTGTTCTATGGATCTCCCCAGGGATTCTGTTAGGGATTTATCTGGTTTTCTCCCCTCTAATGGAGCAGATTTCTCCTCTTCAAAATTCAAGAGGGGACTGTCCTCCTTCTGTAATTATACTATCAGCTTCTGTTTGCTTCTGGCTGGAGACCAAGACTGTTTCTGCTTGGGTCATGTGGAGCAAGCTCTCTCCTGATAGTCATCCCTCTGCCATGGCTGCCTGTGTTTCTCTCCACATACCTCAGATGTTGGGGAGTGATGGAAGAGGCCAGGACCCAGTAATGTTAATTAAGAGAATTGGCTAGCTATCAGGTTTCCAGCAATCTCCCTAATTAAATCATGAGCCTTGAGCCAAACTTCAGTAAGCTTCAAAGAATTCATTAGGAGCAACATATTGGCATGACCTGTATGTAGCCGATTCTGAGACATGTAATTCACTGTCATCCTTGACCCTGGTTTTCTCCCACCCCTCTGGGTGTATCATAATTCATATTCTCCAACAAAACACATTCATAGCCAAGAGTCATCAATCATGTTCTCCAATTAGAGATTTGAGCAGCAGAAATTCCAATCGGTTAGTATCTTTGCAAGGCATGTATGGAATGCACTTTCGATTCCAAACTGCTACACTGCTCTTTCAAACTCCTCCCCCCTCTTTCTGTTGGCAACTATAAAACGGGCATAGAAAATGTTTTATGAGTTGACAACAGGATTAGGATCTTATTGGACAACAATACCTCCATCTTGCTGATATCTAGGTTCAACCATTTTATTCTAGTTCTTGACAGCCTCTCTTGAAGTATCACCCTGCAACTACTACCGGATAGCAATATAAAGCTGGATATAATCAATATATTGATGACACTATATCTCAAAGTGTTGGATGATTTTTCCTAATGACATCATGAATTGTAAAAAAAAAAAATGGGTTAGAGGACTAACTTCTATGGCACCCCACAAAATATCTCCCCCTCTGCTACTAGCTACTGGGACTGTCTAGTTATGGATATGGTGTAAGAGCAAGAACTCTTTTACAATAGGTCTTCTGATTCTTGTGGTTTAATGGAGGTCCACAAGAATACCTTGATCAATGAAATCAAAGACTGCCAAGAAGACTAGAAGGACAGAAAGTTTATCTACTTGAGTAAACAATACTATTTCTGTTCCACACTTACTTCTTCTAGAGTGCTCTGTAATTGATCCAGCAATGTATTAAGAACTTTAATTAGAAAGACAGGATTGAGGACTCAATAATGACTATGTAAGACCACTGGATCCAGATGGTCTATTTCATGAGAGAGCATATCAAATTTCTTTTAATATAACAAGCAATGCCTTTTGTTGGCCATATGACAACAAACAATGCAGCTCCTCTAAGACCATGAGTCATTCACTATTGGTCCTCCTATGGAGTTTATATCACTTCATTTCCTATCCCAGGCTGTTGGGGTCATCTTGTCAAATGTTTGGATTGATTTTGGTTGTCAGAGGTTCAATGGGCATTTGATGCAATTGCTTGCTAGATAGTGAGGAAATTCCCCATTGGAAACCATTTGGGTCCATTTGGTGTCTGAAGTCAATCTTCGTAATGGGTTCAATTACCCTACAAGGGTCCTAGATTGTAATTAGACACATCTGGACCCAAGTGTCAGCAGATTAAGGCAAAGGGATGATAGATAGCTCTTCCAAATCCATCTCTCAAAGAATTGCTCTGTCAACCCTGAAGATATCATGTGTGTAGCCACATTTTATTGTAACCTTTGTCTATTCTTTCCTTAGCTTTCTTTAGGTTTTCCGCAAAGGAATTTAATGATACTTCAGACTTGCCACTCTCTAGTTGTTGAAAGGTGGGTTATAGAGATAAAGGGAGAACGTTGTGTCTAGATCAGTGGTTGCCAACTGGTGGGCCGTGAGAAAAATTTGGTGGGCCGCAGAGAAATCTCACCCCCAGAGCACCCCCACAAAGCAAATAATCCAGGCTGTGCAGAAACACAAGGCTGCACCGCCCACATGGACTTCGGGATCCCTCCCCGCCCACTCACTCCTTACCTGGCAAACGCCTGCTAAATTGCTATTTTTCCTTTTTCCGACCATCATCTGTTCTGCTGTGCTGGGAGATTTAGAGATTTAGCTAGGAAGCAGGAAATGGTTGGATTTCTTGCTTTCTAGCTAGTCTTTAGATTTTTGGCTCAGCATAGCCGAACCTCCCTTAGGACTGAAGGTTTGCTTGCAAGAAAATTGAGTGCAGATTCATGGCAAGCAAATTTGAGAGACTGAGCTAGCTGATGGCAGGTAGATAGATCACTGAATGATTCTGTGAGCAACTCAGTCTGCCTCCTTTGCCTGATTTGGGGTAAAAGTTGCTTTTTTTATAAAAAAAATTCAGTATTTACATGCATGGTGTGTTGTGAGTTAATTTTGTGAGTTTGCTTGCTAGCAAATTTTATGTGACAGACTGAGCTAGCCAATGGCAGATAGATAGATCTCTGAATGAATCTGTGATTCTGTCAGCAACTCAATCTGCCTGCTTTCTCTGATTTTGGGTAAAAGTTGCTCTTTTTTATAAAAAAAAATTCAATATTTATATAAATATTTATAATATTTACATACAAGCCATGTCCAGCCAGTCACATGACCACCAAGCCACACCCACAAATTAGGCCATGCACACAGAACCGGTTTGTGGTCCCTGGGATCTAAAATTATGAGTTTGGTGGTCCCTGAGGCCCAAAAGGTTGGTGACCCCTGATCTAGATGGCATTCTTTCCCGTGGGAACAGAGAAAATGCCTGAAGCTGGTGGAAGGTGGAGTTTGGCATCACCAGACTGATGGACTGAGAATTGATTGGAGATTGTGACTCGGAGGAAGTTTCAAACTTTTGCTTTTTACTGGGTGTAATTCCAGAATCTGGCCAGTCGGAATTATACCAAGTCCTTGCCAATTTCATATGTTCCTAATAAACAGACTTTGAAGAAAGATGGATGCCTTGGATTTTATTTCAGGGGACATATTACTTGGAACCTTGATATGCTCTAAGTTAAAAATGAGATCTAGCACATAATCACCAATATATGTGGTCCAGACTTAAGCCTACAGTTGCCACCAAGGCTATGAGTTCAGGTGCTTTCCCCAAATCAAATAGCTCAAGGAAAAATTCTGCTGGGTAACAAAGAATACTGTATCTTCTGAAAGAGCAATATTCCCATCCTCGTGATTTTGCAATATACACCAGATCTGCCTTCTTATTCCCTTATTCCCACCAAATTGTGAAGAAATGAGCTTTTATTATGAATAGATCTGGTATTTGCCAATAGCACCCCAAGGCCAGAAACTGGGAAGTTCAGCCATCAAGATGAGATTATGAGTTAGAAGTAGAGATTGTAAAGAATTTGGAGGACTCTCTTGGTTTGGAATGATCCAACTGAACCACTTCTATCTCATTCATACAATCCTATCTCAACTTTTCTGTCCTCCCCAAACTCCAAATTGCCCTATCTCTCCTTGATGCCTTCTTATTAATGGCCTGAGTGGGGAGACTTTGCTTCCTCCTTATCTTACAATAAATAAGGGCTAGACTTCCACTACATTGAGTCTCATCTAAGGCAGCCATTCACAGCCAAAACAATGGTCTAAGCTTCCCCAAGGCAATGGAGGAGGAGGAGGCATTAGCCTGAGGCAAGGATAAATATAAAGCAGCTGACAAAACTTAGGTTCATAAAAGAAGATGTTAAGGTCAAGGGAAATCGATCAGAAAGAGGTGTTGGGGCTGGAATTTCCCACTGCCCAAATTTATACAGTTCATATTTATGGTTGTATTTCCATATACACTTGATGGATAATTTGCTCGTTAAAATTATTTGTAAATAGTAAGAAGATCTAGAAACTGGGAATTTAATACAATACTTTTAAGACAAGGCAATTCTTACCTGTACAGCCCAGAGGTAGTCTAAACGTAACTTCAAATCTACCTGTCTTGAATGAAGTGCCAAAGCACAGGAAAACAGCAAGATGGCTAATATTGGTTCATAGCCACGTATATAAAAGGAGCCATCCCTTTAAAAAAAATAATGCAAACTTTTATACTTTGCTATTGTCACAAAGTGAAAACAATACAACAGATGATTCCACATCTAATGGTAATCTGCTGGAATTTAAGAGGTGTAATGTTACTAATTATTATGGGCAACTTTATGCCATAATAGAATATAAAAAGGGCAGTAGAAGTAGCAGTAAAAAGAAGGCTATGGGTAGCCCTTCTGAACTTGTGTAGCAGAGCAGGATTTTCCTCATTTTTTTTGTAAGTATCTTGGCTTCCTCCTATGCTCTTCATCTCACAATTGAGAGATAGGCTGATGTGTATATTAAAGGAAAGAACTCTATCACGATCCTAGGTTTTGACTCTGCTTGGAGAAACAAGGCATGCAATATAATGATGGACATATAAAACCAATCATTTCCTATTCTAAAGGCTTTAATAAACTAATGTGGATTTAAAAAAAGGAAATGGAGAAAAACAGCAAAAGAAAAATGGAGCTAAATATGAACAAACTCTACATGTGGCTTTGTTCTATGGATGACATAAATAGTTAAAGACTATCTTCAAAGTCTCTGACACATATTAAAATTCCTTTCCTCCTATAAAAGAGCATTGCATTACAAGTGTGAAGATAAATTATGGAAGAAGTAGTCATGCCCATTTGTATTAATGCAAATACTTACCCTACTGCTTTTCGGTATCCACTGAGCTCCAAAATAACTATATACAGAATCATAACAAAAAGGAGGAGGATCAATTTTGGCAAAGAAGATACACGTAAAAATATTGCCAGGGTCAAAGTCCCCGCAACACAGGAGAGAAATGCATAATGGGCTGTATCGCATGGAAGTTCAGTCATTGTCTTATTTGTCCCACTGGAGTAAATTATAATTATAGAGCTGCTGGAATTAGTGTTCCAGATCCAAGGCATACAACCAACCTGCAGGAAAAAAGTAGTATATGTTAAATCAAGCTCATTGGAAAATAACTTCATAAAGTTGAATTTGGATATAGTGTATGTGGTAGCTTTAGAGCTAGGAGAAAACTGTGAAATTAAAAGTATGATTTGCAATTATTTATTTAAAATGTATCTTCTTTGAGGGATGATTTTCCAATATTTGAGGGGCTGCCACAGAGAGAAGGGGTCAAGCTATTTTCCCAGGCACCTGAAGGCCAGACAAGAAATAATGGATGGAAACTTATCATGGAGAGATTCAACCTAGAAATAAGGAGAAATTTTCTGACAGTGAGAACAATCAACCAATGAAACAGCTTGCCTTCAGAAGTTGTGGAGCTTCACCATGGGAAGCTTTCAAGAAGAGATAGACTGCCATCTGTCACAAATGGTGTAAAGTATCCTGCTTGGGTGGGGGGTTGGACTAGAAGATGATCTACAAGGTCCCTTCCAATTCTGTCATTCTGTTTTGTGCCATTCTGTTCTGAATACATTTAACTGAGAAGTTGTTTTGATAGGAAACTCTTTCTAATACTATATGTTCCAATGGTGGATGTATTGGAGAAGAGTGACACAAGCTTTCAACAGTGCCTACAGAAAGAGAAAAAATGCTTGCATGATAAGGTTAAAGAATGATGAAATAGAGGTCCAAGGTAAAAAAGTAGTGGAATTCCTCCCAATAGGATGATGGAATGGGCTTGAATCAAAAAACGATCTGATGGTGCCAAAAACCACCAAGAGATCTTTGTAGGGCTAGGATGAACACACCAATCCTAAGCTTTCCAGACGCTATCCACAAGTGCAATCAATTCAATCTTGGTACCATAACATGGTTTGAATCCTAATTGGAAAGAATCTCAGTAATCCATTTTCAGAGCCATGGTGGTGCAGTGGTTACAATGCAGACTAATTCTCATGATTGCCAGCAGTTTGATTCTCACCAGCTAAAGGTTGACTGAGCCTTCTATCCTTCCAAAGTCGGTAAAATGAGGACCAAGATTCTTGGGGGAAATATGCTCTTGGTAAACAGCTTAGAAAGGGCTGTAAAGCACTAAGAAGCGGTATTTAAGTGCTATTGCTATTTCCCAGACCTTCTAAAACTGGCCACCTACCATCCTCTCAACAAACTTCCTCCAGAAGGGGAGAGTGAATACTGGAAGAATGCACAAAAGTGTCAGTTGGAAGGATGGCCTCTTGAGAAAGGGTTGTATTACCATCTACTTTAAGGCATTTCTCCTTACCAGTGGACTCCAAAGTATGGCAATATCCACAGTCTAAACTTGTATATTTTTCCATAAATTGATATTATTCTACAAATACTGAATTGGGTCTTTATAGCTGATGTACATTCATTTAGAACTAGTTCATAATCTTTGCTTTGCTTAGTTTTTTTCCATTGGATTAGGAAAAATTTAAAAAAATCCTCTTGAAAATATCAAATTACAGTAAAAAGGAGGATAAAGTGGTAGTAAAAATGATTCAAAATAGCCAAACAATCACACCATTGTTGTGGTGTAGTTAAGTGTATAGGTTTTCTCTATTTCTCATAAAGTACATTTGTATGCGTAGATGTATCCACGGACATATGCTAGCATATGAAAATGCTTATAATATGTCAGCAATATATATGGAGTAAGCAGATTAATTCAACTCTTTGATCTATGTTTACGAAAAAACAAATCTTACATTTCAGAAAACCAGTTAGTTAAAAGTAAATTAAATCTTTGAGAGAGATTTAATAATTGCATGATTTGTGGCATAATATTCTTTAATTTATTTTGTCATATTAGGTTCAGTTAATTTCTAAGAAAATCTAGTCAATTAAATTTCCCGTTTTCATTATAATACTACGGATTACAGTTGGAAGCCTGAATATGTTACATGAAATAAGGTTCTTGTGTATAGAAAAAAGGTGAGTGCGGAAAAATCACCCATAGTAATGTTAATTCCTAATGGTTTTAAAGGATACAGTCCAAAAAACCCACTTGATTATTGCATCCACAAATTAGTTTTTATCAAATGAAGCAGCAACAATAAATATAATTCAGAAGAGTCTAGGATTTTTTTTTTTAGTCTTCTATGTCTTCACTTCAATTTCAGATCTATTATTTTACAGTAAGATAGCTAGTGTAATATATTAATTGGTGTATTATTTTGAATCCATAACAAGCTCAGTTACTATAAGAAGCAAGCTAATGGGATAGTACATTTCTCATCGATATTTGTTTATTTAGAAACTATCTCATTCCATAGGTCTTTGATAATATAAAAATGTTACAACAACAATAAGAAACCTCTAAGCAATAATAGACAATAAAATGTCTCTTAGAAAAGTCAGGTTTTAATTCTTCTCCAGATAGCCATGGGGGAACATTTTTGCTTCCAAGTTAGAGGATGTGTCACCCAGAATATTTGTCTCTATATCTGTCTACATTGTACCCCAGATATAACAATTTATTTACAGGTTCATATCACTTACCACACAGCCTTGTGCCACTGAGTAAATTAAGATCACAATAAAAATACACAAAATAGTTCTAATTTGTATTGTCAGGCACCCTGGAAAACACTGAAAGACAAAACCAATATATATTCATTTGGAAAATGATTGTCCACACTATTGTTGTTGTTGTTGTTGTTATATACAAAAAAATGTGAAATCACAGTTGTCAGTTTTTTAGCTGATATTGGATGTTATATTTATCAAATGCTTCCCCAAAATCTAGGATGTCATAATGTAGCAGTGTGATATAGGTATGAATCTAAATAGAGAGACCTTTTGTAATTGACAGATAGAAATAGTGTCAATGTACAGATTTTTTAAAGTGCCATCCAAGATTTTTTGGTATGGCACCCAGTGTGCCAATCATCATTGGCACCAACAAAGCTGGTTTATGTCATAATTTTTCAAGTTCAATTTTCAAATCATTTGTACCAGGCAATCTTTTCTAATTCTTATTCTTATTATTTTTGAAAGATATCATAAAATTAGTAATGTCCTAATGCATTTCCTTCACCCCACAAAAAGGTTAAATATTTTATTTCTTATGGTCATAAAACATAACTCAATTGTATTCTCAAATCATGGTTCAATTACATTAACATTTGACTTCAAAGAAGTTCAGTCAGTTAAAGATGGATGATATTTTAATACTTCTTTGTCACAGGGTAATGTTTCTGATTATATTTTTATATTATATGAAACAGCAAAAATGATAATTTTGTGAATATAATCAAGATTTTATCCATTTATAGGTTGTATGGAATACATGTAAAGTTTAAGTATAAGGATATCTGAATGTTCATACCTTGTGAAAAGTAAAAGTTTTAATTACAAACACATGCAATTTTGATTGATGAGTGTTTACTGGCACCCACAAGGAATCACATGCAACAGATTTATAATGCATTCTAAGTTTATCTTAGTTCAGATGTATCAAAAATTAGAAAAATATTTAATATTTTTATATGCTGAAAAACATATTGCAATGGTTGAAATGAGTGAAATTAGTGAATTAGTGAAAAAGTGCTGGCCAGCTGGCCAGGCAGGAAGCAGGTCAGGCAGTGCTGGCTAGCTGGGGAGGGGGCATCAAGGCTTCTCAGGTGGCTGCCGCTGCCAGCACCTTCAATGTCCTGACTGAAGCCGGTGCTCGCCACGCCATGGGAGAAATGAGAGACCCAGTTGTCCACAGTTGTCCTGCAGAGCCCACCGCTGCTTGAGTGGGGAGGACAAGTAGAAGAATGGTAAGCCACAGGGAGTAGGTGAGGCAGGACTGGCTGATTGAGGTGGGGCGGGATCATGGCTGCTCAGGTGGCTGCTGCCACCCTCTCACTGCCAGCAGCTTGGGTGCCCCAACTCTCCCTCCCCCCTCCCTCTCAGCACAGAATGAAGAACGAAGCGAGGTGGTGAAGGGGTGGAGGATGAAGCAAGGCAGGGAGTGCAGAGCTGCCCCACCTGCCCTGCCCCAGCTTACCTGAGGTCCCTGCAGCCAGGCCACTGATGTCAAAGTCTCATCCCCCCTACCCCCACCCAGGGCAGCCACATCCTTTTACTAACCAGCTTTTCAGCTCCATTCACTTCCATGGCATGTAGGACAACTAAAGTAGTCTGTGGGACTATGATAAAAAAAAAATAGTTCAGACTTTCCAACTTCTCACAAAAAAATAAATAAAAAAATCTCCTGAGGTTGGAAGGTCTGAACTATTTTTTTTTTTACTGTAGTCCCCCAGACTACTTTTGTTGCACTGTATGTGCCAATGAAGAACTGGGCCTGTGCCCAGATGGCATGTAGCAGGCTGAAGTGACACAGGCCGGATTCGTACATTTTCCAGAATGGCCATATGAGGTGGATTCAGCCTTATTGTGGGCCAGATCCAGCCCATGGGCCTTGAGTTTGACACCCCTGCTTTAAACTGTATGGTTGAGTAAAAGCTGTTAATGAGTACTCAAATTTCAACCACTTTGTAAGGGATATGGGACCCTCTATTGAGACTTTTCAAAATCTTTTATTCCAGGTATCTAGTTTTCCACATGATTTCCCCGTCTTTCCATTTTGTTTTCTATATTATTGTTCCTAGCAAACTGAGCATTATAACTCCAGAATCAATATATCAACAAGATAATGATTAAACACAAGTAGAGTTAGGGTAAGCTAAATTAATTCATAACAAGCTCTGTTTCACAGCAGAAAACTATTCAAGCATTTATCACTTATTTACTGGAGTGTGATGCAGTCATTATTCCTGTGTGTCAGGAATGGTACAATTTTTATATTCACCAATAAAAAAAGATTTAATAAAAGGTTTTTTTTAAAGGAAATGAAAAATAGGATTCTTAAAAGCCCTAAATGGCATTAAGTATTATACATTAAAACATCTATCTACCTATAGATATGAAATACAGAAGAAATAAAATGAAGACTGGGATAATTGATACATATATTCCTTTTCCACAAGAGCTTTCACAACATTTCAGGTCACTTACTTGTACTCGAGTGACATGTAGATACATGATGCATGCCACCAGGAAGCACATGCAAAACACTAAGAGAATGAGGACTATGGTACTCCTAGAAAAAAAGAAAGAAAACTAAGTCATGGCACACAAATGAAAGCAAATTCTTCACATTACTAGAATCTATTTAAATATCAAGGATTTTTCTTTCTCAATATGTAAGTTCCTCAATTATTCTTTTTCTGCTGTACATTTTTAGTGGAATTATTATTTTTTGCATATAATTAATAGAACAATGGTTCTTTAAAAATAATGTAAAACAGGTCCTCTGTGAATAAAGTTTACTATGATTGCTTTTAAGAATAATCTGTTTCGACGTAATCCATTTGATATGGAGACATAAGGATGACTCAGCCTTCCAAGATGAGTAAAATGAGGACCCAGATTGTAGAGGGCAATATGCTGACTCTCTAAAACGCATAGAGAAGGCTGTAAAGCACTAAGAAGTGGTATATAAGTCTAAGTGCTACAGTCTTTGTTTTCTGTAAATAGATTTTATAAAATTTTCACGGCCCTCCTGAGCTCCATTTTCGCTGGCATAGCGCTGCAGGAGGCCATCACAGCCAAAAATAGAGCCTGGGAGGACCCCCTCCTAAGGTCTGTTTTTGCTAGCAGAGTGCTAGCAAAACAAACTACTAGCAAAAGTGGCATTTGATCACAAGGCAAGGAGGCATTGAGAAATGTTTCCCCTTTTGCATTTGAGCATCCAAGAAGGGACGGGAAAGGAGAAAAGGAAAGAGGAAAGAAAAAGGAGGAAAGATGGGAAGAAAAAAATGAAGGAAAAAGAAGGAGGGAAAGGAAGAATGAAGAGGGAAGGAAAAGAAGAAAAGGGAAGAAGGAAGAAAGGATATTATGAGAGGGAGGGGAGGTCTGAGGGAAGTCCTACCTTAGCACTTGGCCACCAGAAACCCTGCTGCCCTTTTGCCATCCCCTTGCCTACTTTTCCTGACCTCTCCTAGTTGTCTCCCATCCTATCTCTGAGGATGCTTTGGTTATAAAGCCAGGTCTCCTCACATGAAAAAGGAATGGGCCTCCCTCTGACTCACACTTTGCTCTTCCCACACACCATGAGCAACCTAGCCAAGGAGAGGAGAACAACAAGCAGCAGCTTCGAGGAGGAGGTAAGTGCAGCTGGAAACCCTCTCTGGGAAGTGGGCTGGGGACCCTTGCACCCTGGGCTATTGATGGCCGGGCTGAGCGCTTGCCCTCTGCTGCCTAGGGCTCTGGACAGCCTACGCCGCCATCTGGGGGTACTGCGTGGCCTGACAGGGATGGCGAGGCTTCTCTGGAGGACAAGGATTTGGCACTCTCCCTGGTCTCACCTTTCTCTGCTGGAGACAGTGGATCCCCCCAGCCCTGCCCAGGCCACCACAGGTGCCCCTGACATGGGCGATGTTGAACTGGCCACACCCACCCAGCCAGACACCTCCTGCCCCTCAAGGTCAAACACAACCCTAATGCAGTCTTCAGTGAAATCAAGTTTGATACGCCTGTGCTATATCCTGCAACAATTCTACAATACTCTTTCTAATACTTTTTAGTGGAATGAAGTTATTTGGGTAGCTGCGTTTTCATAATTTGACATAGCTGTAATAATAGCTTACAGTTCTTCCAAGGGCAATGTTTGATTCTACTTATATATAATGTCTATTGTCTTTGTCTTCTACTTCCTTTATTCTGCCAAACATCCATTTTTTCCTGATGGCTTTAATCAATATTAACTGAACATAAATAAATTATTTCATAGTATGATTCTTTTACATATACACGAGACAAAATATAAACTATGTACAGTAATTTGCTTTCTTACTTTTTGATTTATTTTTTTTGGAATAAATTAGTTTCATAAAGCATTAACTTAATTTCTTTTAGAAAGTCCTTAGCACAGTGTGGAAGTATTTCTTTCAAATTGAGGTAAGACATTAACCACTCTTTCTGTCAGAAAGAAGCCATAATCATTATATATAGTTAGCACTTTCAGTTTGCATTATTTGATGAATGAATGTAACAATGTTGAGTTCAAACTGCTTTTATATTTCAGCAGAAAGAAATAGATAAAATAAATAAACAAAGAAAAAAACCAAACAAACAAAGAAAAAATAGCCTATGGATGAATATCATGAATGTGCTAATTCTCACCTGAAATAAATATTTAAAAAACTTCTATGAGCTATTCTTTTCCCTAAATAAAAAAATCCCTGATCTCAATCTGTATTAAGACACCATATGGTTGTACCAGAGGGGAAAAAGTAAATAAATTATGGCACACAATTTATACATAATCTGTTTAACCCTTGGATTTTCTTTAGACTGATTTTATGATGCACTGAATCTTTGGCTCTTAAATTTCCATGAGCATTAGAAAAGCAGATATTGCTCTGTTAAATTTTCCTAACTCCAAGATGAAAGTATGAACAAAAGCAAATTTGCTTCTTATTATGAATGAATGTAGAAATGCCTTTGTTTTATTACTTCATACAAGATTTGTTTTCCCACAAGCAATCCACTGCATTAGCTTTGTTCCCAATAACTTCAGTTAAAGAGCAATGGAACGTTTTCAAAGCTAAAGGACATTAATTGAGGGTTTTTTAGTATGTTGGATAGAATATAAGAATTAAACACTTTTAATGAATACAGAGCACATTCAAAATACTTATATACCAGTATAAATGCACTTGGCATTTAAATTATTGGAAACAAAATAACTTACTGTGGAATTATTAAAAGGTAGACAAGGCCAAATAAGGCAGCTAGAATCAATGACAAGACTACAGCACTGGTGAAATATTCATCCTGAAGTTGGTGATACTGTGAATGAAAGAGGGAAAGGAGAGAGATGGATTTAGTTAGCCATTTGTTTTGTGTTTTGTAATTCTGAAGACACAAATAATTGTGCTAAAAATGAAGTACAAAAAGTGATTTAAAATCCTGAAGTTTGCCAGTTACATATTTCTTTTTAAATATTTATAGTTAGCCCAGAGTTGGGGGGAAAATCCTCTTCTAAGCTTCAGAATATTTTGCAAATCAGAATAAGTTTTTACATTACTCCTTATCTTGGAATCAGGAAAAGAAGGGAAAAAAATCCCCGATAAATGTGTTATCCTTGAAAGTATGTTGTGTGTTATTCAGAAAACATCAAAGGCAAGCTGTAGCCTCTTTACATATCAGACTGGGAAGGAGAGGTGGAATGATATCTTTGCAGTTATCTCAGATCTCAGAAGTTCTATAACATAGCAGCCTTCATTTCCACCCAAAGCTCACATGATTTTTGATGGTTTCATTACATTGGAAATATTAATTGGAAGTATTAATATTTTATTAACTGTCATTAATATACTTTCTTTAGGAGCAGACTTTACAATTATCCACATTGATTTCAGAGAGCTTCCACAAAGCTAGGATTTAAATATTTTTAAATATGTTGGATATTATGATTCATTCAAAATTACAGAAAAAGACAGTTGAATAAAGGTACAATAATTTTAAAGAAGAAATAACTCAGTGGAGAAGACAAATTCACTTCTGAGATTAGGAGAAAAGATCAGCTTGAAGAGGATTTGTTGCATTAACAAGAAAGCTCTCTGGTTTCTTAATGAAATCATGAAAAATATTGACATCCTTTCCTCAAAAGAAAATATTTTTTTCCTTAGTGAAACTGTTTATTTAGGATGAAGCCAACCCTACTTTATCACAAGCTGTGTTTTTGTTTATCGCTACAATTTGTTTGTGAAACATTGTCTCTTACAAAATACACAAATACTATATAATTAATTTTGAATCAAAGCCAGTCCCAACAAACAATACCACAACTTAGTCGCAGTAGCTTGTAAAAACAAAAGTGATTAAACAGTTGTAGGGGGAATTGCCAAATATTAACTGAATAAAGAAAAAAAGAGTACGCATTTGTTGTGTGTTGGTCTTCTCAAATAAAAAGTTTGAAACATGAAGTGCTAATATGACAAAGCTCTGCTCCAAGTTTCTTTCAAATTTTTTTTTTGCAAAATAGGTGAGTTTTGATCTAAAATTATGAAAGGGTTACAATATCCTGATAATTTAAATAAGATATTAGGGTCCTACACTCAGGAAAAACAACAACTATCTGATATCACAAAGGTATATTTTACTGCTTTGCCCTTACATGTAAAGAAAGAAGGAAGAGGATCTAGAGATTACAAACACAGAGGTTACATTTACTCATTGCTGTAACACCAAGGCAAGATTTACTATCCTACCTAACTTGGAACATTACCACAATAAATTAAAACCACAGTGATAAAATAATTATTATGTGATGAATGAAGCCAATTATTTCCTGAAAGTACTTTCTGCATTTTTGTCCTTTCAGCTGAAGAACACTGTGCAAAATATCTAAGGACCTCAGGTTTGGAAGTCTAAATCTTGCATTTACAAAAAGATGAAACCACGTTTGAAGTATATATAGAAAGGAAAGATACTTCAACCATGGAAAGAAGCCAATAATGTGTTGCTACTAAAAGAAGATCAAGATGTTATGAAGACAAAGAATTACAGACCAATTTCATTTTTAAATAAGCACTACAATTTCTTTGCTGCAGCTTTGGCAGAAAGATTAAAGAAGATTTTACAGGTATATTCATGAAGACCAATCTGACTTTCTGCCAAAAGACAATTAAGGGATAATGTGAGAACTGTTTTGAATATTATCAAATATTTACAATATCATAATGAGAAACAGGCACCTCTAATAATCTTAGATACAGAGAAGGCCTTTGACAATATACATGGGGCTTTTATGTTTAAAGTGCTGGAAGAAATGGACTTTGGAAAGAACTTTATTTAAAGGGTCAAAGCTGTTTATATGTCAGAACAAGGAAAATTTGTTATCAAATTTGTTATTTGTTATCTTTTGTTGTTTATTTTGTTGCGGAAACTTTTGAACAGAGATATTAGGCAAGATGAAAAAATAACATATAAGTATCAAGAAAGAATGTTATAAATTGAGGGCATTTGCTAATGATTTGGTTATATTCCTGCAAGACTCAAAAAACAATATAGAATATTTGATGAGGAAATTAAATGAGCTTGGGGCTATAGCAGGTTTTAAAATAAACAAACAGAAAACAATGCTGATTAAGAATATGTCTTCTTAGGACTGTGACATATTGACTAAAAAGTATGGTTTTAGGGCCAGGAAAAAGGTGGAATACTTGGCGTTTATGTTGACAAACACAAACACAAAACTGTTTCAAAATAATCATGCACCTCTCTGGAATGATATTAAAAAGGACTTACTAAGATGGGACAAATTGCATTTATCACTATTGGATAGAATTTGCATAATTAAGATGAGTATCTTACTAAAGATGCTTTTACTGTTTCAGACATTACTAATACTTGCTACTGATATTCCATTTAAACAATGGCTGAGGTATATTTCCAAGTTTATATGGCAAAGAAAAAAAACAACCAAGAATTAGACATACTGTTAGACATACTATTGCAAGATTCTAAGAAAAGAGATGGTTTGAGTTTATCAGATTTGAAACTGTATTTCGATGCTTGTTATTTGGTCTGGCTAAAGGAGTGGGTAAACCTCCACAATAAAAGGCTACTTGGTTTAGAAGGTCATGAACTAAGGTTTCAATGGCACAGTTATTTATGGTAAATAAATAAAGTTAAAGTAAATTTTGATTTTAACAACCATTTTGTTAGATGTGCTATTCTAAGGATTTGGAATAAGTATACAACAGGGTTTTCTACAAAGATGCCTCTTTGGGTGTTCTCCCAAGAAGGCTTTTTCAGAAAAGAAATGGTGATGAAGCCGGACTGATGGACTTATGGTAAAGTATCTTTTAATTTTGGTGATCCTACCCTCAAGCTTAAGGAAGAGCTAGAATCAGAAGGACATGTCTGCCTTTGGTTTACATATTTACAATTGAAAGAAATATTTAAATTAGATTAAAAAAGAGATATAGATTTGACTTTGTTAAAAATAAATTGGATAACTTACTATGTGGTAGTGATGAACATATTATTGCTAAGGTTTATAAAGCATTATTGAAATTGAATTTGTAAAGTGAACAAGTAAAGCACTGTATGATTCAGTGGGCAATTTTTTTGAATATAATGCAATGCTTGAACAATGGGAGAATATATGGATGAAAGGTTTAAAATTCACATTAAATTACAATTTAAAAGAAAATTAGTATGATGTATTGCTGGTATTTAAACACTAAACAAGTTATCCAGAATCTATAAAGGTACTTCAATTGAATGTTGGAAACGTAAATATAAAGAAAGGACCTTTTATCCAGGGGTGGGATTCTACCAGTTCGGACAGGTTGTATAGAACTAGTTGTTATGATTCTGCACAGTTCAGAGAACCGGCAAATCGTGCCCCTGGCTGGCCCCGCCCCTCTCTACCTAGTCAGTCCTTGTGGCATATGAGTAACATTGCGCGTATGCCCGACATTTCTGACTGCGTTCTTCCCCGCCCAGTCACTCCTTAAGGTATTTTGTTCCCCTCCCGACGATCAGCTGTTCCTATGATGAGCTGTGCCGGGATTTCCTTTACTTACTTACTGCTTCACCCAGGAGGCTTTCCTGAGGCCCAGGAAGGCAAAAAATGGAGGGGGCACAGCACTGTTGCCAAAAGGGGAACCACACCACCCAGTCACATAGCCACACCCACCTAGCCATACCCACAGAACTGGTTATTACAAAATTTGAATCCCACTCCCGCTTTTATCATTTATGGTGGACATATGTTAAAGCAAAAAATAATAATAATCAAGAGTAGGATTCATATTCTAATATAATTCTTAAAATGAATATAAAGATAAAATCAAAAATTTTTCTTTTGGTTCAATAGAAAAAGACTTGGAACTTTGATGTTATATATATTGATGGCAGCAAGATTATTTTATGCATAAAAATAGAAGGACATTTCAATCCCCACAATCTAACTAACATAAAAAAAAAAACCATAAGTACTTTTGTTTCTACTTGAAACTGCTTCTGGACTTTGTGCTTGAGGTAAAAAAAATTAACCTTGGATTTTGGGTTTTACTGTTTTGATAGGGGATTTTTTTTGTTATAGAAATGGCTAGTTTATACTATTATGTAAAAGTAAAAAGTTGAGGTTTGATTTTACAACTTTATTCTAGTGCACTAGAGGTAGTCGGACATCAATTTTTTTTTCTTTTTTCCCTTCTTTTCTACCCTTCTCCTTTTCCCTTTCCCTCCCTTATTTTTTCTATTATTTGCTTTTTTTTGTATTTTATATTGTAAACTAAGAAAAAACTGCAAACATACAAAAAGATGCAATCTTTAAGAAAAGTCTCACCTACCTTTTGCTCACGTTCTATCTGCTTATATCTTAGAGTAAAAAAGTTTAGATCTGCCATTTCTGATTCAGTTTGCCGAGCCTCTATTAAGCGGCTGATATACCGGTTAACTCGGGTTCCAGGAGTGTTATATACAACATTTGTAGAAAAAGAGGAACGATTCCTGAGTTTTTCAGAGGCTGTCCTTAATGCCCTTCTCTGTGGCAAAAATTAAAAATAAAAGATGAGTGACAGGACTAACAATATATTTGAAAGATTAAACAACACTGTATTCTAGCATTAAATGGGGTACTGATTGCTCTGCCTTGTGAAAAATCTATAAACTTACAAAAAAAAAAAAAAAAAAGCAGTAGCAGCCAATATTTAGTGGCCACCCTCAGACTGATTAATATCAGGTGCTATAATTTGTGAAATGTGGAGGGAAATGTAATTTATTGCCTAATTTTATTAGCTATTCTGAATTCTTTCCATCATGACTTTATTTTTTAATTTTTTAAAATGTCCATAGGGACATACGTTCTTAATATATTTTTTCAATTATAGAAATGGTAATGGAGAATTTTTATATGGAATTTGTGCTTCACAGAATCACCAAGAATCATGTTGGGAAACTGAAAGTCTTGTAACAATTCTAACTTCTTCATGTAAATAGCAACCTCAATTATGTTTAAAAATACATTGGTTCCTTTGTTATAAGACATGGATTAAGCTTCCCTCTAATCATTTTGGAAGCCAATAGAATCTGAAAACAAGTTTAAAACTAATGTGTGAGAGGAAAGCAATATATCACAGACATTTCTCCTGTAATATTTAATTTCCTGGATAAGTGGGCAGAAATAATAATTTAGAAAGGAAGCTTTTTCAAATCTGGCTGTTCTTGCCATTCACTCCTCAGTGAAAGACCTATAAGAATACTGCCCTGTGCTTGGTGGAACAAAATGGTGTAATATCTCCACCTAGTGGGAAAATTAAATATACATTTATTTATTGCAATATAAAATTGATTGATGGATTATCAGACTTTAGGATGAAACCAAGCCACATTTTCTTTTAATATTTAGCAACAGAGAAAGATTATGTTCGATATAAAATCAGGAAATGTTTAAGACTTATTTGATCTTAGGTCTTGCAATAGAGACAAATTTCATCTGCATTTCTTTCAGTGACAATGCCAGTTGTATGTAAAAGTTGTATTGTTCTATAGTTCCTGAGTCTATATCTCTATTTAATAATCTACATTCATTAATATTAATTATTAATATTCCATAATGGCCATTCCAACAGTTCAACATTCATTTAATTTATTATTTCCAAAGGAAATATTATCGGAACTGTGGGGAAGTTGTAAAAGTGAGTTGTTAAACTATGACCACCAATTCTCGTTAGTTTATTTCCAAATTTTGGACTGCTCCTGCTTTATTGCTAAGTAGAAATCTCTGTATAAATAGTATATGGATATGGCACTAAAATGGACAGTAGAAGAAGCAATTATCATTTATTTCTATCCCTTCATTAATTAGTGAGGGGAAAATGTCTTCAATAGACAAGTCTGCAACAAACATAAAAAGATAGGATTTCGGTCACGTGATTGCAGCAAGCAATTTATTTTTTTCTCCTTGCAGATGTCACTAATTATAACATGTTTAGGCAATCATGCAATACCTGGAAACATTATTTTATAAATAATAAATAAATTTTATGGAAAAATAAACCAATAAACTTGAAATTAAAAAGTATATTAAGAAGTGGAGGGTGTTCAAGACAAAATGATTTTATGCAAGGATGCTAACCAGAAATAATTTTTGATTCTTTAATATGGATTTAATGCAGAAGGAGATTATGAAAATCCAGTGCTATTTATGGAAAAACTCATATAGCAACTCTATCCAATGCAATTTGGCTAGAGATTACAGACAGAAACACATATTAGTTTCCACTTTCATTCAAAAATGAGATCCAGCCCAGTTAATTTTTAATGAGATATCTTTGGCAACAAAGATATTTAGCTCCTTAACCAAATCTTCCCTTCCACATACAAGGGCATAAAAAGTGTTCTGATCTGAATGCCATTGGTAATTTTATTGAGCTGGGGTCAAAAAGAAAACCAAATATCTGTATGTATTTAAGAATTTTTAGTTTTGATTTTTTTTAAAAAAATCTAACTTTTTAAAAAATATTTCTGTTTAAAAAAATATATTTCTTGTGTCAATTATTTCTACTACATCCAATTTTTATAAATAGTTTATTCTTTGTTCTATGTCCAAAAGAGATATAACTAAAGTTACTTCTAATTATTGCATTTCTATTTGCTTCAGTTTCTTCTTCAATGTGGTTGGTTAGTTTTGCATGGCTGTCTTCTAGCTGATGCTAAAGAAAAGAAGTCATGAATAAATGGTTTGGCTGAAATCCATTCTACAATGGATAATAAAAAGATAGAAAGTATTAATTTGTTTTAAGATGCTTTTCAGATGACACTTAAGTTTAACATCTTCTTGTAGTAAATTGTTAAATTTCCTTAATAATTGTTTATTTTGTTAATCTTAAAATTGTTGGATTATAGTCTGTATAGATGAAGGGTACAGCTTCCACATTTATAAATTTGGATAAGGATGAAATGAAAACTCAACACATATCTATTTTTGAGTACATTTTATGAAGAGATGAATAGTAAGAATATATTTATTTTCTAAAGTTGAATTGCATTGTCATATATGATAGCAACATATAATCTAAACATTTTTGGATGCCTAGCATGTCCCTTTGAATAGTCCATATTTATCTAAATTCAAGGACAAACAGCTGCTCATATTGCCACAAATTAAGATATCTCTCCTGCAATTCAAGAAATAATTGGATTTTTTTTTGAGAGGCAGAGAAAATTTGGTTATATTAACATTTGGAGTATAAATTGAAGCAATTGTTTTTCTTTGTTCAGTCTGTAATCATCTTTTTCTGAATGGACAGTTAAGGCTGTTGATGCTAGTTGAAAATATCTTGATATGATTCATAATGCCTGATATTAAATTAATTGATGAAGAAAGAACTGATCTATTTTTGATGCCCAAAAGACTTCCAGGTAGAACAGAATATTTCATTTATACTTAATATTTTTCCTTCAAGACTAGATGTTAAAAGTCTAATATCTCTTTTATTTTTAAATATATCCAGTAGGCCATCTGGAAGAATCTCAATTACTGCATTACCAAATTTAAAGGGATTTGAGTTATTATAACTGTGATTATTTAATTCTTATTAAGAAGCTTTGTGGAACTGTCAAAGAGTACCATGATTTTCCTATGTAGTTAGTTTGATATTGGACGTATTGATCTATATACAAAGGATATTTTGAGTATAAAGACAGTTAGAATTTAACTTCTTATTATGTGCTGATGACAGATGCAAAGAATGAATTAAGTAGCTTTGTTTTCTCCCTGCTGCCATCACTTCCTTGCCATCTTCTCCCATTTGTAGACCCGGGTTTCTTTAACTGTTCTTCTTTTTTATATATTGAAAGAAATCTTTTACATTATTTTTGACATTTGTTATAAATCTTAGTTTACTGTGAGCCTTAGCTTTCCTGACTTCATCTTTGCAGTTTTAGGTTATTTGTTCATATTCTTCCTTAGTTATGTGTCCCTCTTTCCATTTTTTAATATTTGTCCTTTTTGTGTTTCAAGGATTAGGGCTATCGGAGAGTTCTTTGTATAACAATGTGGTTTCTTTTTGGATTTCTTATTTTTCTTTTTCAGTGTGGTATTATGCTGGATTGGACTTTATAATCAAATTTTTCAGAATTTCCCAAGATGTTTGAATTGTTTTCCCTTTTAAGATTTTCCTCGTGGAATCTTTTCCAAGTTTTCTTGAAATCAGAGTCTTAGACTTTTTTAAAGTTTAAGACACTAGTTTAATTTTATTCTATTGATTGTGTTGTATTATACTGAATTCCAATATGGCACGATCACTTTCCCCTAAAGTTCCTGCAACATCAATTTTTGTTAGTAAGAATTAAATCTAATATAGCTGACCCTCTAGTTCCCTCTTTTATCATTTGAATATCAAAGTTGTCAGCTAGGCTTGTCAGGAACTTGTTTGATCTCCCCTTGATGCAGAGTTTGTCTCACAGTTGAAGTCAGAGCAATTAAAGTCCCCTATTGTTATTTGCTTTGTTATTAAATTAATTCTAAATCAAATAATTAATATATATCCAGAATATTATAAGTTTTGAACATTGCAAAAGTTTATGTTTTAATAATAGCTAATTAATCTTATTCTAGTTTATATTTCCAGTGACAGAAGGATTTATTTATACCTTTTTTGGTACAAATGCAAAACAACCAGTAATCCAAAATATTATTTAGCAATAGCAATGGCACTTAGACTTACAGTATATACTGCTCCATAGTGCTTTAGCACTCTCTGAATGGTTTACAAACATCAGCACATTGCCTCCAATAATCTGGGTCCTCATTTGACTGACCTCAGAAGGATGGAAGGCTGAGTCAACCCTAACCACTGCACCACCATCATGGCTGTGTTATTTTTGATATATAGTAAGAATGTTTAAAACATATGAAATGGATTTATTAATAACAGCTGTTTATAGAGACTGATTGCAGAGTTTTAATCTCATAGGAATTGATGATGTCACCTTATAATTTTGGTGTTTGTAAAGCTGATAAATGCCACAGGTGCCATGTTAAAAAATATTGCAGTTGTAAATGCTACCACAAGGTTGCACTTCAAGACGGTATTTTTCTTTTCACATACAAGATTTCCTCTCTGTGTGTGTGGTTCAATGTGTTCAAATAAGTTTTTGACTTGGTCACTGCTTGGAACTTTTTTTTGACAAGATTTTTAGGAAGTGATTTGCTATTGCCTGCTTTCTATGGCTAAGAGAAAGTGGCTAGCCCAATATGTCTAAGCAGGGCTGGAATTTACAGTCTACAAATTTCTAGCCTGATATGTTAACTACTATACCAAATTGGCTCTCTTAGAATGTGGCTAATTGAGAATGTTTTAAAATGTTAGTTATCAAGTGCAGAACACTAGTAATAGTGGAAAATATTTAGATTCCTGTTCTTTGGGCATGTTCCATATTGTTCTGACCTAGGCTTCCTTAGAAAGCATAGAACATAATCTTAATCCTGGCAAAACCTCTTTTATTTCCACAGCTGTGTATTACGTTCATTCACAAGACTTCACATACAGTCTTTCAGGGGAATGTTGATAAACATCCACCTTATCAAACTTGGAATGCAGCCAGAGAACTAATTGCCAGACTTGACACAGAGTCAAACAGGATTTTTCAAAGCTTGTATTCTGAGCAAACGAACTGAATTGCTTCCTACTCACATCCCATTCGCTTCTCTTTTATGTTCTATGGGAGAGGCCAATCATCTCCAAGGTGTGGCCTTACTTCTGAGTTGACCCTGCTTTCTCAATTGTTCTTATCTTCTACTAGCTCTGCCCATGTGCAGGCTGGGAACCGGTTCCATAACCTCCCCTACATCACTGCTGTCCGAACCTGAAGGAAGCTGCTGTCTGCCTCTGATGCAGTCCCTCCTCCGGATCTTCCTCAGCATCCAAACCTGGCCCAGGTTCCTCCCCAACCTCCTCTCTACTGTCCGACTCTGCTGCCAGCTCCATCAGCTGGCACAACACATATTTGTTGGATGTTGGCTTTTCATTTATAATTTTGTTAATAGTTTTGAGAAAGGAAATAAGATTTAAAACTGTGAGTGTGATGTATTAAAAACACTGTTTTATTATGATGAAAAAATATTGTTGTTCTGAATTTAAAAATTGAAAATATATATTCATTCTCTGTCTATGAACTGGCTGTGTATCAGTGTATGCATTGAATTGGGTGTGAAAAACTACATGTAAGTTATTATATTCTTAAATATTACTTTTTTCATAGTGTATATTTTACTTTTTCTTGTAAATTTTCTGTACTTAAGCTCTGTTCTCTCTCTATCTCCTTGCATTTGTATCTGTGTCTGTGTATTTTTTGTAAATCATATAAATACCCATTCATCAGAGGTAGTATTCAACAGGTTCTAACCAGTTCTGGGGAACCGGTAGCGGAAATTTTGAGTAATTCGGAATACCACCTCTGACTGGCCCTGCCCTCATCTATTCTCTGCCTCCCTAGTCCCAGGTGATTGGTTGGATCTTCTTTTGTTGCCCTGCACAAGAGAATGGAGCTGGAAAGCAGATTAGTGGGGTGGGGAGAGAATGGGGATTTTACAGTATCCTTCCCCTGGAGTGGGGTGGGAATGGAGATTTTACTGTATCCTTCCCCTGCCAAGCCCACCAAGCCAAGCCACGTCCACCAAGCCACACCTATAGAAGCAGTAGCAAAAAAAATTGAATCCCACCACTGCCATTCATTATTCTTTAAAGGATATTTGCTGAATTAAACATATATACCTTGTCATCATCTTCACAAGTCATCACGTTGGAGAAGGGAATTTCAGCTTTAAACATTTTGCGACAGTGCATCAGCTGAACTAAGAGGTAACAAACAGTCTTGAACTTCATTCTTTTGGCAGGCTTTATGTCAGAGAGAATAAGCCCTGGAAATATCTGGAAAGATATATATACAAAGACATCTAATTATTTTTATAAATAATTATTTTTAAGTTAATGTCCAAAATGTATAGAAATTCATGATATACTACCATAACATAAGCAGTAATTTTTCACAGAGCAAACCACTTGACAGCATTATAACTTATCCAACTTAATTCAAACAATTTAGGAAAAGAGATAATAATTGATCCAATAGTATTCAGTATGTTTTCTGGCTAACTGGAGAACTGAATCCAAATGATCAAATAATCAGGAATCAGAAACATTACCTACAGTTTGAAGGAAGTCACCTGCATCAGCTTTTACAGAAAAATGTAAAATTGACTATATAATCAAATAATAATAGCAATTTATGTCACATAAGGCCTATATCAGCAACATAGTATAAATAAGCTTACAATGACCTTCTTAATTACTTATATATCCTTGTCTTGCTATGTTCACCAAAACCTGTCATTTCCTCTGAAATCTAACCCCGTATACAAACCAGAGTTTGGAACACAGCTCTCAGATAATATGCATCTCCAACAGCTTTATAATTTCTTTGGACCAAAGTTGAAAATATAGACAGTTGCATTTGATTTTAAGGTAATGCACTGCATGGAGATGTTTATTTCTCCTTTACTGTTTGTTGTCCCCAAAGAAAATATACTGTGAAACTATAATTAGTTCAGAACACAAAAAAGGTGGAGGAGCCCTGTTCAGTTTTCTCACTACAATTTTCTTGATCTATATCTGTTCATGTAGAATAAGTATTCATTCTTACATGCATTTGAATCACTTTCTTCATCATTATTATGATTTATTTATTTATTTATTTATTTAGAGACAGTTCATGTTGCAATAGAACTATTCATATTGAGAGTGGAAATATTTTCCCATAAACAGTTTAAATTAATTACAAAATGCAATTACCCATTTAAATTCATTAGCTAAAACATTTAACAGTTAATATACTAGGTTAACTATTTCCATAGAGATGAGCTCAGGGCCAAGCTATGGAAATATAGATATATCTCTACTTGTTTTAATAGATTTATTTTAGGTTAGGATAGGATAGGATAGGATAGGATAGGATAATAGAGTTGGAAGGGATCTTCAACATCCTACTCAAGCAGGAGACCTTATACCATTTCAGATACTGTAAATGGCTGCCAATCACTTCTTAAAAGCCTCCAGTAATAGAGCACCCACAATTTCTGAAGGCAAACTGTTCCACTGATTAATTGTTGTCACTGTTTGGAAATTTCTCTTTAGTTCTAGGTTGGATCTCTCTTTTATACGTTTCTATCCATTGCTTCTTATCCTGCCTTCAGGCACTTTGTGCAATAAGTTGACCCCCTCTTCTTTGTGGCAGCCCCTTATATATTGGAAGATTGCTATCATATCATCCCTAATCTTTCTCTTCAATAGATTAGACATACCAACTTCCTATAATTGTTTTTCATGTTTTACCTCCAGTCCCCTAATCATCTTTGTTTCTCTTCTCTGCACTCAATATCTGTTCTGTATTTTGGAAACCAAAATTGTGGATGCAGTATTCCCAGTGTCACCTTTATAAAGTGGCATTAACATTTCCTCTGATCTTGATTCATGTGTATTTGATTTTGAAATTGAATTTGATTCTCTCATCCATCCATCATCCATCTCTCTCTCTCTCTCTCTCTCTCTCTCTCTCTCTCTCTCTCTCTCTCCCTCCCTCCCTCCCTCCCTCCCTCATCTATCCAGGGATGGGATTCGAACCGGTACGAAATTGATGTTAAGTTTTCATCTGGTTTGCTGAACCAGTGTTTCAACTGACCAGCTGGCCCCTCCCATCCCACTCCGCCCCCCCCCCCCCAGGAGTATCCACATGGCCCATTTTCGATTAAGGTAAATGCAGGGTCCATGCGGAGGCTCTGGGAGGGGGGAAAATGGGCTTTCCAAAAGTCCAGAAACGGGCCTGTTTCCGGCTTCCAGTGGGCCTCCAGAGCCCGGGGAAGGCCATTTTTGCCCTCTATCTTAGATAGATAGATAGATAGATAGATAGATAGATAGATAGATAGATAGATAGATAGATAGATAGATAGATAGATAGATCAAAGAAAAAAAGAGTATTTAAAGACAGGTATGATCACAAGGAAATGGGATGATAATACATAATTCAAAACAACTATTGTTTATTCCTATTTTCAAAGTGGTCCTATTCAGCCATGAAAGTGAAAGAAAAACATTGCTGCTCACAGAACTCAAATTCTTACAGGTAACTTCATGTTAATCATTTTATAACAATGAGATGAGATGTAAGAAATGACAAACTAGCCAGTGTTCAGAACTTGAGCCAAAAAATAAATTTAGTAGTTAAAGCTTTTCTTCGATTCTTATACTTTAATAACACCTTGATATTGAAAACTGCACCAGCTACAATTCCATTTAGCGCAAATATTTAACATGCAAAGCTTTTTTATTCTGTAAGACTACTTATTTTCTTTTGATTAATAGCAGCTGCTAAAAGTCCCTTGGCCTGAACTTGCAAACAAAACATACAAAATGTCTAATGAGAGACATGCCATACCACATCTGAATAAAATGATCTGGCTTTTTAGTATTCCATCTTTTTCTAAAATGTATTGCTTATACAATTAATTTTTTTCACTTTTATAGAATTTGGCACACGTGAAGCTTGGGAGTACTTACACCAGTAGACTACATCTGGTGCAGGTATTTGAGTTTAGACTAAGATTCAGCAATTTAAAAGCTCTGGCAAGTTTTCAAATATTGACCATTTATTTTGTGATGCAACAAAAACCTGAATTGGTTAATGAGGTGCTTAAAAATTAAAGAATCCTGGAGTATTTTCTTAATAGCTCTAAAAGACTAATGACAAGTTTAAAGATATGTTGACCACTTCTAGGGTCCAGCAACTTATTAATCACTGGGCCTCCTGAGGAAACTAGGAAAGGCCTTAGTCATAGGAAACAGGGCTCATAGTATAGATCAATCAACCACTTTATCATAACTCTCAAATTGAATTAATCTCAGACAACATCACAGGACATTGTTCCATTCACCATTTCACAGTCACACACACCTCACCCGCCACAAGGAGTCAGTACTTTGGTGAACATGAGCAATTTTAGCATCAAGATGTAAAAATGTATCACAATGGCTTGCAAAAAAATTTCTAGTCCATCCTTATTCACCAAGGATTAGACAAAGTTAATGGAACTGCTAGTTAATAATACATTGATGCAGTAAAGATGCAGAAATACTAATGCTTTGGCACTCTTGTCATACAGAACAGACATACACATGAACCTTATTCATGTTCAGTAGTGTGCATTTTGCATCTCCCTTCACTGGTGCTATAGCTGTTGCTTTTTTTTTTTTTTTTTTTTCTTCATCTCTAGAAGCACTTGAGCCAAGGAGACTCTTGAGATTGGCAAACAAAGGATCTTTAGTGCTTGACCAGACTCTTAACAGAACAGCAAGTGTTCTGGGAAAACTGCCTAAGCAGTGATGGTCTTTGGACTGATGATCTATTGCTCAATAAATGATTACAGAAAGTAGAATAGAAAGAAAATATTATAACCTTAACAGATATATTCTTTAGAAATATCTCTATGAAGTGATTTGGGAACTATACCTGTTGAATGCATCCTTGCATAGCTCAATATTTGTTCTGAAAGATTAAAGAAGCTCTTTGTGTATGGATCATAATAGAACATAAAATACTATGGTTGGAAGGGATATTGGAAGACTTCTAGTTAAATCTGCTTAAGCAAGACATCCTATACCATTCTGGCCAGATGACCGTACAGTATCCTCTTGAAAACCTCTAGTGATGGAGTACCCAAAACTTTTGGAGGTAAGCCACTAATTAATTCTTCTCCCTGACAGGAAATTTCTCAGTTCTAGGTTGGATATCTCTTTAATGAACTTCTTCCCGTTACTCCTTGTAATGCCCTCAGGTGCTTTGGAGAATAGGCTCATTTCATCTTCTCTGAGACAGCTCCTCAAGCTCTGAAAGGTATTGGTGAGTGGTTGTTTGCTAACTCCTCCAGAACCCTAAGATGTAATCCCTCTGTTCCTGATTATTTGAACTTTTCCAGAATGGACAAATGTTCTCTTACCATTTTCTTGCTTATTTTCACTTGCATTCATCCTATAGTGCTGCTTTTGAGAGTTTGGACTATTTTTTCCTTTTACCTGAAGATATATTCAAAGAATGAATTAAGCATTTCTGCTTTCTCCCTACTACCTGTCATTTCATCTGTTAGTAAGAATTAAGTCCAGTATATCTGACACTCTAGTTTTCCCCTCTACATTTTTAATGACAAAGTTGTCAGTTAGGCTCATCAAAAACCTGTTTGATTTTCCACTTGCTTTAGAGTTTGTCTCCCAATTGATATTAGATAGTTAAAATCCCTTATTACTTCTGTTATTTTATATGCTATTTTATTGGAAATATATATATACAGACACTCATAAAAGAACATTCATCAATAGTTTCTTTAAAAAGTGGCAGAACCTAGCATTCCTATGACAGGAAGAAAAGTATTCCAGACTTCCCTAGGAAAAAAAGTGAATATTAGTGATAGAAGATTAAATTCTTAGGAAAACAAAACTCTAGTCCGCAGATCAGGCAGTCAATCTAGGTATGTATATAGTCTCCCTGGAGCAAAAATCAAAGATGCACCTAGGTACCTTACTAAAATAATCAACCCCATGGATTACTACTCCTTTCTTATCCTACATGTGGGAACCAATGACACAACAATGAATCAATAACAAGAAATTACAAGCATTACCTACATGAAGGTCTCTTGGCAAGGGATGGACTGCACCTCACAAGAACTGGAAACAATATATTCAGAAAATAACTGGCTCATCTTATCAAAAGGTCTTTAAATTAAAATTGAGGGGGGAGGGGGCCAAACTTCATAACTTTTAAAACCTAATTCCAAGCAAAACCCATTAGATAACCAATCGCATAAGGAGGTAGGGAGTAAAGA